TCCGTCCCTTTTACCTTAGTTTATCACTTTGGAAAAACTTCATGCAAAGCATGTTCGCCCCGCTTTGCGGACCGGACGGCAGAGGAGCGGGAAATCGAAGCGGCGACCACCGAAATAACCAAAGTACATCCTCCGTGGACTCGTGTCCATATCGTACTTACGGTCGTTCCTTTCTTTCCTCTCGTGGATAGGATTTTCGACGATGCCATACTTTGATTCAACGTATCGGTACTGAACAGGCTCACTCATTCCCCCCTTCCACTCAGAAAACTCAGTTTGAAATCCTCGCGGCCAAAAACGTGCAACGAGGCCTAGCCGCGAGGGTCCAAGAACTCAGCTCAACGTTCCGCAAGAAACAGCGTGTCTATATGGAACGTAAGTATTTCCTCCTTGCCCATCAAGTCGACGGGAACCGATCATTTCTATGACCGCACTTCCGCCTTCATTAGGTCTACAAGGGCACGCGATTAAGAATCAAGATCTCCTGATTGCGTCTGGGACTATTTCTTCAAGAGGATCCGAGGGCTTGACTGCTGTTGACGAAGACGTAGAAGCTGCGGTGAGCAACAATCAATGTCCATGTCTCTTGCATAGCTAAATCGTTATTCCCCCCGTGCAGCAAGCTCAGATTCTAGATAACATACAAGATCAGATCACGATCTCCGTGTCCGCGACCGGGAGTTGACGGAAATTGCAAACTCGATAGCTTCTCTAGCGGAATTATTCAAGGATTTGTCTATCCTTGTGATAGATCAAGGAACTCTTCTTGACAGTATTGAGTATAACATTGAACAAACTTCGGTAGAAATGGCCGAAGCTGTGAAAGAGTTAAACCATGCAACGCGGTGAGCCATGTATATCCGCAATCATCGTAGCGCGCTGACACACTCTCTTACAGATACCAGAAGAACACGGGCCGTCGGAAACTCATCTTCCTTCTCCTATTGATCATTTTTGGGTTAATCGTTGTCCTGATTTTCAAACCTCGTCGGTCATCCTCTTTAGGTTCTCCATCTGCTCAAGATTCAATTACCTCCACGGATACTTTGGTCTCACGTTACTTTCATGCACGGACACCCCCTAGCCTTTACGTACCGAATAATACTTGATTGAGGGTCTAGTTACCCTGAACGGCATGATTTGTGTGGACAGTCTGTATCAGCCATTCTATAAAGCATCAAAAGGTTGCGGACACATCCTCTCATCCAGTACTGCACGTCAGCTTATGTTAAAACTTGCCCCTTTCGTGCAAAGCCTACCATAGCCCCTGACGTCACGTTTCACTTGGCTACCACGAGGTCTCGCCAATTTGAGCACTTGGCCCTCATCGATATGAGATCAGTAGCGTTTTTGGTGAGGCTACGTGCCTTGTCTCTGCTAACTCTTACTCTCCAACACATTTGAATTCTTAATAGGTAATGCTGCACCGAGCATCTGGGAAGGCACTGTCGTTCATGTTCAAACTAACCACCTATTGCAAGTCGAAGACGTGGCCCTGACCTTTTTTACTCTATGCAGATGGTACGTGTAAGGTGCATTGTCCGCAGGGATCAATAGCTATGCTTGATTACATCAGGGTCACAGGTCCTTGTGCTCTTCTCTTGCGACCATCACACATGTCCGATGACAGATCCAACCTATCTCCCAGCCCTAACTCAGCAGAGCAACACGAACGCTGTCACCGCATAAACCAACCAACAAGCTAGATCGTCTTTGACAGAAGTAGCAAGGCTTCCTTACCTCGAGCGCCTAGACAAGAGCATCGATCACTATCTGACATTTGTGCATGACTTTTTGTGCTCTGATTCGACATGGATAGTTTCTATATTCCCCTCTGCATCGTGAGTACCATGCCACCGGCTTCTGATCTATGTTGCTGCCCCTGATGCTCCCGATCCATGCACACAGAATAGGCAGAGCGCAATAGAACGCAAAGGAAATTGTGTCCCGTCGATGGTTTTGACATTTGATACTTTGAATGTCCGACATGTCACACTCTCTTGATCCAAAAGTGGTTAAGGTGTCAATAAGAGGGTCGCAAGAGGTGTTGTTGCGACAAGATCGTGCAACTTGAAGAGGGCGTATACTCGCCTTGCGCCCTCTGAGCAGGATATCGTACTGCTTGGCTTTTATCAGTGTCACATTCTGCATTCTCATTGCAGTGATTAGAAGATACGCAAGATATTTGCTTGCGCCGGTGGTCCGGGGGTGGATTATCAAGTTCCAGAACTGATTCCTCGGGATTGAATGTGCGCACGGAGATGAGATCGAACTATATCAAGAAATCGGGAGAGCAATTGGTCCCGGAAGCTGAGGATCATTTCCACAAAGCGCGGGTTACTCAGATCTATGACGGTGTCACAGGTTCACCATGCTCACTAGGCGCTGAAGCACTTTCTCCACCAAGATCCGTTCATTGTGCCGTCACTGTAGACTCGTCGGACGAGTCTATCCGCAATATTCACATGACAACGAATGACGACGATACAAATACAGACTGCGAATTCGACGCAATAGATCCGCGGCAAGTGCATCATGTGGGTCCGCCCTCAACCCAGAGGAGATAGACGACTGTCTGTAGAGGACGTGCTTGATCTATCAGCCGGCGGCGATCAAGATAAACCAGATCTAACAGTGTCTGACAATCCGGTGGCCGAGACAATTATGGCTCAAGTTACCTCCGAGTCGAGGTCATTCTTGTCACCTACTCAAGACAGCAGGATTCGATGTCATCCCCTTCACCCCGGTCCCGAATTTCAATTTTTCAATTGTTTCAAGCCAAGGCTTGTGTGGTGACCGGTGACGACTGTGTCGCCGGCGCTCGCCGCTCATTATTTTGAAAGTCCGTCTGATCATTTCGCAAGTTAACGTATAATTCACGTATTTCGTACATCATATAGCATCATACTAAGGACTTCCCAGTTGAATACCGGATGCACATAGGCAGCTGTATCATAGCAAGGGGTACTAGCCTAGTAGCTTCAAACAGGTCGACCGTGTTTGATACAGCACTTCCAGCCTTCGAAATAAATCTCCCGATGCCATGATTTCTTCCATAATTGGGGCTAGGCTGTTTCGTAACCCCCAAACTGCGTACAATTCATTTACTGCTGGACAATCAAAGTATGTAAGTGATACGGTGCTTGACAACAACTTGATAATAACAACACTTCTTTCTGACGGACACATGCACACATGATTATCTCAGGCGCTATGGATTAGCGCAAGCTGCGTAGTCTTCTATCACCACATGACGACGTGCCCTTGCCCGAACTCCACATTCTCTACGGTCCGACGTACCCATATGTCCTCTAGGCTCTCACCGCTCTTGCAAAACAAGTTTCTGTCGCGTCCCACGCCACGTGGCTGGCAAAGACGGGATAGTATGCAAGATGTGTTATCAACTTGAACAAGACGCGTCATAGACACGTATCCGCACAAAGACACCAAGTTTACGTTTTACACGTTACTGCTGTAAGTCGGGAACTCGCAAAAAATTGGACCTGTTCGCTTCAATTTCCTGAAGAGGTGCCTGCAGGCACAGGTCCAACATCAATCATAACCATATGCTAAATTGTATGGCAATTAACAAAAAATCCCCTCTGTGCTAGGATGCTATCCCTCCTTGGAAGCAATACTCGCCCCACCTGAGAGCAAATCCCCCAGCACGCCAAATGAAGAACACGCTCTGAGTCCCACCTTCTGTACTTCATCAAGCAACAGATGGGTCACCTCAATGATACATTTATCGTTCCTCGCGCCTTCTATGCCCTGGCAACATGTGTCATGCTCTGCTAATTTGGCCGTCGAATATTAATGCACATCGAAGCCCCACCCGCTGGTGCCCCTCACGTGCGAGAATAACATGTAGGATTCAGCATGGCCTTCGGTACAACATCGTGTAATGCTAAACGTGCCGTCGATTCGAGCCTAGACCCGAGAGTAATGCTGCTGCCACATATCCTGCATGGATCGTCTTAGTAGCTGCAGAATCGTTGATCGACTATTGACGTGATCATATCGACCATTTGTGTGGTTCCAGCATGGATAGCATTAGCTAATAACGCGTCGATCTACTAGTAGTTTTTAATATTCCACATCACATGCGCTAGGGGAAGTTCCGGGGATGTAAAGATACAATAGGGATACCAGCCTGGAGTTACAAGCACTCTGTCAGACTGGTCGATGAGAGCATGTATAACACATAGCCTCGTTCCAACGAAGTTTCATGGAACGTGCTTGAACACGGTGAATTTCAGTCTATAATAAACAGTTGCCTCACTTACGTACACGTACATGTACGGTATACTGCCGGCAGATGTTGACCGTCCGCTATCAACGTTTCAAGGTTACGCTCAGCGCCTACTTCGAGTCTTCGAACCGAATTTGTGTTCACACCAAGATCTTGATAGGTATGGATGACAGTTGTTCGGTTCCTTCTATATCCGTTCAACTTATGGTTGAGCCACACGTTACAGCGGCGTTCTTCGAAATCATATTGCATTCTACGCAACGCGCATCGTGTCTAAACCCTTGTCATGGTCTTAAAGTATCCCTTCAGTGCTCGTGATCTCCATACTACGATTTCCCGTCCTTTCCAAATCATGTCGTGGCCTACAGTCCCCGGTCTGTTTGCCACGGGAGCCGCGGAATGACAGCCAACGTGGAGAACGATCATTTTCAGCAGCCATCTTCTTTCGCAGTGTCGACTGTTCTACTGCAAATTCACCATGACAAACAACACGAGTTTCTTCTCAATTTGTCATTGGAGTGCCTCACAGACTGGTCGCGGACCGTACGGTCTACAACCAAGATTGCGATGTCCCGGTTGTTGAACGTACGATCTGCCACCCAGACCCCGAAAACTCAAAGGTGGTATGCCAGGAGAATGGATGCGCGTCGAGATTAAAGCGCAAGTCTGAGCACAGTGGGCGAGTTCTTGTGTGGTTGTGGTCGTGAGATTGACTATAGCGCTTACTGATTCTCGTAGTTGCGGAACGAGGTTGAAAATCTGGCGGAAATAGACTGATTGCTGGCCCATCAAACTGAGAATGACTGACTGCCAGCAAAGATAGGCGAATTGGATCCGAGTCGTTCTGGGTGACTGGTGCACCGGTGATGAGTTACGCTTGCCGCATTTCTAATCCCCGACTCTACGGAGTAGAGAAGGTTTTGTGGGATGAGATCCCTGTATACCAGCGCGGGAACGTCCTTTTTTCTTGTTGTTCAAATGCCCATAGGTCTCACATGCGTCTTCTCTTTGGTGGTGTTCATATTAACTTCATAAGCCCGCTTCGGAGCACTGATAGGACTTGCGACTGACCTTTTCATCCTTTGTCCCGTTTATATGACCATGCTCAGTCCTCTCAACGTTAACACCCAGTATCCGGGTTTCCACGCGCAACCATGCAGATACCCTGGCTATGGCGCCTGTCGGACTATTTGAAGCCCGAGGGCGCGGCTCTTACTCGTTAGAATATTCCGGATCGTAAGTCCCCCTTTGTATTTTATGCAGACCACAGATTAATGGCAGTCTCAGCTCAGGGATGCCATATCCGTTCTGCAATATCGTACGTGCTGGTTATTCTCAGTGCTAGACCTGAGTTAGTAATATTCCTCGCAGTTCATGCTAACAGCGTCATCCATGATGACTTCGATGGGGTAAGTTCGACCCTTCTCGTTAATTTTGATTTGATTGAAACGTGAGTTCCAGCGTAATGTGCTCATCTGTGGTGACGACACTGCGTGTGTTTCTGACTTCGGTCTTTCCTTGATGTATTCTGAGGTTATAAGCACCTCTCAGGCTTCCTGGACGTCCACGCTCACGGGAAATATGCGATGGATAGCTCCTGAGCTGTTTGTAGAGCAGGAGGATGGATTTCAAGTTCGGCCAAGCGAGCAGAGCGACATAGATTCATTCGGCGGCATAATGTCACAGGTACGTCTGGGTTAATTTTGGTTTCTCGTTGATATCACGAGCTCCACTCGTAGATCCTCACCAACAAAATTCCTCATTATTACCTCTCGAGTGACGCCGCGATCGTCTTATGCATACTAGTAGTTAGGTTGGAGACAGCCCTGGGGGGTCCTCCCGGGCTTGTTATCCTGAGCTCCCTGAAATAGTGGATGTTTATCTGTCCAGATCTCGTTGGTTCTGACGCACCGTCTCGCATTCAAAATTCTGTTTACTGTACAGCGAGATAAACAAAGCTATGTATACCTGTATAGTAAACGTAGGCTTACCCCAAGATTTCTCTTGTAATATTTTGCAGCACAACAATGCAAGTACCGCAGTTCCCATGTAGCACCGCGCATTACTGGTACCAATGGCCTCCCCGCGGCAGATGTCATGCGAAATAAAAGTCTGTTCACCGATTCACCGATTACGATAAGCTAGTTCCTCGCACAATACAACACGATCACTCCAGGTCCTTCAAGGACCTGGAGTGAACGTTTCGCCGTTCGATACGGACTGCGATGAGCTCGAAAAACGCTAAGTGTTTTCCAAAGCCAGACTGCCGTGCTTTCTTGGCCAGTCTGGAAACTAGTGCACAGCAATTAAGGTTTCATTGTACAACCTACACAATACATAAGCTCTCCAACAATGCATTGGTATATATATCCCTTCGAGACATCCAACTATTTCCCCTTCCTTTAGCAGACCACTTCTGCATCGTATTCGTCGCACTCGACACGATTGCGTGTTCTGGGGCTGCGGGTGCAGACACAGGCTTGGGTGCAGGCTTAGCAGTGTTCTGAGGAGGCAAAGACTCATGCAAATTTGAAAAAAAGTCACAAGACCTCCGCTCGTCGTGTACGTGAGCCACAGAAATTGTACCAGGTAGTCTAAAATGTATTCGCTGCAAAAGGGAGGTAAGTGCTGATAATATTCTCAATTCTGACGCGCCCTACCGTTCACCACCAGGGCTGTAGATGGATTTCCATGGCTCTTTGACATTTCTGAGATTCAGCTGATAGAAGGTCAAGGACACGAGCACACTACAAAATGTTAAAGACTCACGAACAGACAGCTCATTTAGTGGTGATACTCATAACATTGAGATAGTCGATTCGACCAAAGCGCACACGAGGGAGCTCTCCTTTCTCCAGCCTAGTATAATTGTACGTGGCATCGAAAACATAATCTACGAATTTCGAGATACCTTCTAGTTGTCCTGTGGTGACGGTTCTGATGAGGATACGGACTATCAGATACGATATACTCACATCATGAGAAACCAAACTCGTTCTCTCTGCTCATCCGGAGTCAGTGTTTCGTTCACAACCATTTCCGCATAGCCTGTTCTCACCCGTGATAAAAGGTATCCGCTCATCCCAAGCTACGAATGGAGCTCCAGTAATATTAATGTCGAGACCAGTGAGAGAAGATACAGCGCCTGAAGGTCTCACAGTCACAAGGCTGTCCAGGAATGACATCTTCCCTGGCCCATGTTGCGTTGCAGGGGTGGATGGGGAATGTGGGACATGTGCTGGTGAGGGAGTTTGGCTTGGGATGGGTTGTAAAGGCGTTATATTTGCACATTTATTATTTGCGCGTTTTGTCAATCGAGGGCTTGCGCATTTTATTCCAGAGTTTCCGCGTGTGCGCACTGCGCGTTTTCGTCAATGATGAGCCTCCGTGTTTGCGAGGACCAACCTGCAGGTGAAGTCCAAGCGTCAAAGTTCAACATTGTTTCAAATGCACCCCGTGAACACCTGCGATAGTAAGACTCAGGCTTGCCAGCAGTTGCCAATGCTAGCAACTTTCAGTTCGAGAACACCATGGTGACGATTAAGGTAGGTTTGAGATGAATCACACTCATGATAGTCTTTCTGTCAGTGGGGTCTTAACTAGCCTATCAGAATATCATCGGTGTTCAAGTGGGATTGAAGGACTAAGACGTACTCTACCCGATTCCAACCACCACCAGTGCTTAACGCACACGCCCGGCGCATGTCAGCAAATGCTGACATGGCTCGAACATATGCGAACGACACCGGGAGGCGCCAGAATGAGAGGAGTGGAAGAGGGCAAGAAATAGAGGTGAGAGAAAGGTTTATGATATCTTGTGTCTATGGAAACGAAGTAGTTAGCTGCATAAAAACGCACAACATACACACCTTTGCAGCTTAGCGAAAGGCACTGGCAATCCCTCGACCGCACTCAACACCATCAACCTCCAGTGAAATGTCACAGCTCATTCCAAACACCACATCCCTTCGAGCTTTTGACAGACCGAGATGCGCCTGCTCGAGAAGTCGAAGTCGACTCAATGTCGAGCAAGACAATAATGTGTATATAAAGGTTGATAGGGAACATTTGATGTCGTTCTGAGCCTAAATTGGTAACATACGCATGACTGGGATGATCAGAGCTTGACACAAGGGACATCGCACAGCAATGTGCCCAGTGCCCACCTAGAACCTAGCTATTTCATGGTCTGTGAACGAAGGAATGTGAACTTCGAAATATGTGGTTTATTGCTATACAGTACAGCATATAATCGCGACATCTACGACAAAGGCGGTGAGAACGAGAGCAACATGAGGGCGACGCGTGTAAGGATGTTGTGGGCTGTGAGGTATGAGAACGCAGCTGGAGGAAAAAAGGCACTGGGCAAGAGCAAGCGAATGAGGAATGATATTGAGGCAATATCAAGAGTAGAAGCTCCGCATAGAGGTCATTGAATTTAGGGTGGTATGAGACGCAGGTGCACCAGGGTATCACAACGGGCGTCCTTGTCAAGGAGCTCTTCGATAGTCAGTTTCTGGAGACTCAGCAGGAAGAATCTAAGGACTACAATCGAGGTTCATGTCTGTGTATTGAACTCGTGATAAATGTGTGGAATCGCTTCTTGGACCCGTACCAAGTGGCACCCCTACAAGGACCCCGGAAGCTCTTACCCCGACAACGCGCTCAACAGCGCCAAGGTCGCCCAACGGCGCCTCGCGCTCATCAAAACCTCAACGCAGAAACCCAACAAGAAACCCAACACCATCAACCAACCTGCCATGCTGACTAACGACTCAGCCAGTCCCTCCACACTCATGCAAACCAACAGAATGAACTGAAAAACAACCACAAGCAAATCACTACTCTCCACCAGCAAGACCATCGAAGACCATGCAACAGGTGCCGGCATAAAAACCAATGTCAACAGCCTACCCACTGCAAGGAAAATGCTCACCACACATGGCCTCAACTTACCCATGGCTGGCAACATGTTCATTGCTATTTTGGCAGTGCTATTTGAGTTCAGGGCAATGGCCAACCTGTTATGGTGAACCGTAAGTCGACTAGGATGGGCGCGATGACAGGAACTCGATAAGAGTTGCGCCTGAAGCCGGATCAGACCTTACAAATGTAAGGGTCGTAAGACAAGCCAGAGAGAGTGTCTCTGGTTTGAATATCGGTTATCAGACGACTTAGGATTGGAGGTCCTAAGCAAAGGATAGTTCAGGTAAGACCTAGTAGATTAAAGTGAAGTCTATCTAAGTACATGACCAAGTTTATATAGTTGTAGGTACTTTAGGGTAGGCACGCCTACATCATCAGTCGAGTCAGAGATAAGAACTACGTCATCAAGACGAGTCAGAGATAAGGGAATGAGTCATCTAGTGACGGCACGTGGTGGTCATGATGTAATACAGATGTGGAAGGCGTTAGTCTAATGATGGCACAGCCCGGTGCGGTCATGATGTAATACAAGTATGAGGAAAAGAGATAGGGGGTAACCATGATTGTAACATTACCCCTCGTTTAGCGATGAAGTCACCGACTTCAATTATCCTGGTTAGCCCAGTAGATGGGATCCACGTCATAGTTGGAGTAAAGGAGGTCGTCCTGCTCCTCAGTGATGGTGGTTTGCGCTATCTGATCAGCGTGAGCAATAGTGTCTTGCTCAATCTCCCAGCGAGCGAGCACGTCGTAGAAACCGACGTCAGTCCATACCAAAGGAATGACCACTTCTCCTTTTAGCTCTTTGCAAAAGACCAATAGATGACTGGGTGCATATTCTTTGCAAACTCTACAGTAATACGCAGGGCAGTTCTTATGATGGTGCCCGGCAGTATGGCAGTTGCGGCATACGACATTATCGACTGGCGATGTTTTCATGACTGTGACGGAAGAGGACTGGTTTGGGGGGGAAGGTGACCATGATCGTTTAAGTGGTGCTTTAGTGGGGGAGATGGAAGCGGCTCGTTTGGTGGCGAGGCGAGAGGACCTTCGCTTAAGTGGAAGTCGTCGAGTGGTGCGTGTGATGGGGTTAGGAGAAGGAGAAGTCGGTACGTTAAGTACGGCAATAGGAGGGATATTATCATCCTGATGCTCCATGGTAGTCGTAGCAGGAGCTGGTGGTGGTACGGGGACGGCGATATGAGGGGAGGGTGGTTGTGCGACAGGGTCAAGGGCAATGCGTTCAGTGACGATATGAATGGCTTCCCTGATAGCATCTCTAGTCTCTTCAGGCAAGAGATGAATTGCTGTGTTGCGAATGCGTATATGCAGGTGGTGGAAAATGGTTTTATGACGTTCATCATCCAGGAGAGCGGCAGTACGATCAATGAGGCTAGCATCTCTGATAATCCTGATGATGAGGCCGCTAGATATTGCCCCTTGTTCTCCAAGGAGGCGATCTATTTCTATAGCATACTGTTGAGAAGTTATGGTGGACTCAAATAGGGTGCTTGTCTCTACTTGGTCAATGACCGAGAAGTAGTCGGTAAGGGTGGAGTTGTCAGTGAGTGTGAGAGTGGAGTCAGAGGCGGGCGGCAATTCTGCTGGAGTTGAGGCTATGGGGGATGATGCGTGCTGGGCAAAGTTGGCAGCGGTAGTGTTCTGGTAATCAAGGAGCATCAAGGGGTGGGCATTTCCTTCAGCAACGGTGTTCATGGCAGCGGTAAGTTCTTCGATGTGGAGGATACAAAGATGTAGTCGTTTGATGTGGGACATTGTCAGAAAATCTATAGCCCATGGGCTTTCTTATAGGCGTTGAGGGTATTGGAGGCATTAGCGAGATTTCCTTCTGGAACCCACTCGTTGCTGGCGGAAGAATATCCTTTCCAGGATACAAGATAGCGTCTTCATTTACCCGTCCCTTTGTGCGATAAGATCGCATCAATTTCATATTCTTCTTCGTTATCGATGACATCAGGTGGGGGGTCGTGGTAGTTCAGTCTGTGAACTTCTGTTTCATGATAGGACGATAGCTCAGAAGCGTGGAATGTGGGGTGAACTTTCCACTGCGGAGGCAGTTGGAGCGTGAATGTGATAGGAGAGAGGATGGTGG